TCATTTTGTTGCTAAATGGTTCATTTGGTCAGAAAGAGAACTGACTTGTTGGTTTCTCTTAATTTTTAAACAATTTTATTACTTTGGATTTAATGCGTCTTATGATAAATAACAAAAATCAAACAATGGAGCTACTTTATAAACAAAAAAGTAGATTTCTTTTCTTTCATGACATAGAGATAACTTCCCAGGAAAGGTCTGTTTTGTCTTCTAGCTTCACAACATGGAACCTGACATATTGATAGGCACTCTTAGGACAGAGTCCAACTCATAGTTGTATAGAGTGCTGCATTTTAGAAAGTGCTGTGGATGATCTAAGTAGCCTTCCACGGACTGGCCTGGGGCTGTTTTCATATAATGTGCACTGTAATCAGGTCAAAGGTTGTTGGGTAATGACAATGGGTGACTTCCATTCTCTGGTGCTGTCAATGTCTTCTGTGGAGGAGGCTGGGTAAGTTTAGTGAGGAGACTATGATGGTTTAACTTAAATCTATCAGGAGGCTTCATGTCCCACTCTCTTCCCCCAGCACTTGGTTTTGTGTGGTCCAACTCAGTTGTGCAGAGGTTGTTACTTATCTGTATGATCAGTGAGTCTGGTGATAAGAACTTCCCTGGGAAGAGAAATAAGTTCAGGCCAGGACAGAAGAGCTTGGCTGGGTCTAAGAGGCTGTAGACAGCAGAGAGGACCCACTACCCCCACCCCTCCAGAGTAGAAAAGGTGCTGCAACATTCTAGTCTTCTACCTTGCCTTTCTAGATTCAAGAAAGATGTGTGTGTGTGTGTGTGTCTATGTGTGTGTGTGTGTGTGTGTGTGTGTGTGTGTGTGTGTGTGTGTGTTCTTGTTGTTGCTCTTGTTGTTGTTATGTGTATCTTTGGTGAATGAGAATATGTGTTTGAGCCTCTATGTGTATGTTCACTCTCTCACGGAACAATGGAACATCTTTAAAACTGATGGAGATGGATTTCAATGAGAAAGTACTGTGCCTAATCTGGTTAGTACCACTTTGCCTCTGTCAAAGAACAGATGGAGTTGCCCATCCTTCTGCATGTCCATACAGCTAACTACAACCAAAGGCCACATAACTCATGCAAGGTAAAAGTTTTTATGTTATTTGTAGAGCAAGAATTATTTATCTGCAAAGAAATCCTCTGGAGAAAAACAAAGTAATGGGGTCCATGACAGTGACAAAGAGGCTACTTAGAGGCAGGAAAGGCTGCCATCGGATTGTATCTTTCTCTGTTCTGGGTGAAAGGAGGCTGACCACTGATGTCTTCCCTGCATCCTGTTTTGTTCTTCTCCACATCGCCTGCTGCCATTTTTCTTTCACCTTTGCCTAACCTTGGTTCCGCTAACCTGTTCCTTGGAGCTTGACCTGGACTTTATTCTCAGAGAAATTCTGAACTGCATCCCAGCCCAGCAAAAGTCCCACAGCTATGCTCAGGTGTGAGATGAGGTTGTCTTTGCGCACCACTTAGGCTCATCATACTCTCAAGTACCCACTCCATGTTGTGTCTGCAGCACTCAGAAA